CTTTTGGCATATTCTCATTGCAGATTTTTATCATCTAGGAACAGCTCAGCAAATTGTACCCTTAGTTGTACCTGGTTGTACCTGCAGCCTGGGTTTGCACAAGTGAAAAGGAGCTGTTTTTAGGAATGTTATTAAATGCTTCTCGTGGCTTTCCTTTGTTTGAAGTATCAGATCTTATAAGAATGGGGACAAAAAAAGCATTAAAACCATGAATTCTGATTTATTTTATGAATTAATGGTTTGCTCTGTGGAGGTAAAGCCTTTATTCTCTTAAGTATTCTCTTCCTCATTTTTCTGTAGATATAAATGATACTTACAGAATGTGCATGTGGAGATTTAACTTAACAGTTTATTTTTATGCAGAGAAATGAATGATTAAGGTTGTACCAAGCCCCTGAGAACCTGGCAGTAGTCGAGTCCGAACCGCAGAGGAGAGGAGGAGGTTTTGGTGCTGCCGTTCCTGCTGGCTTTGCTGCTACGGGGCTGGTGAACCACATGTCCATTTTTTCCTAAGCCATTCTTGAACTCTGCTTCCTTTCAGAGGCTTTGTAACCTAACTACCCCCCAGTGAAGCCCTTCACTTGTTCCATGGGCAGCACAGGCACAAGTGTGAAATCCCTTCAAACATGACGGCTTCAGCCCTTGTTATAAGGGACATTCCATGAGAAGGAAGAAGTTGTATTTACTTTTTTTTTTTTTTTAATGAGTTGTGTACAAATGTTGTTTGCTATTAAAATGGTGCATGTTCTTTCTGCAATGTCCATATTTTATTAGTGCAATTTAAAAAGAAACCCACGGAGCCTGTGCTACTATTGGGTATCTGATTGCCAAGTTAATCTCTTATCCCAGGTCTCATTGATCTTCTGTTTGAGCAGCTGAGAGTCTATTTTATGTATAGCGATCTTTCAGAAAGCTTATTCCTGGTAATAAAGCTAACTGGGGTGAGTGCCAAGCTATTCTCAGAGGCAGCCCGCTCCCGACAAGAGAAGTATTTTATTTTGTTAGATGGGGTTATTGTTTGGGTATGCGCTTGTGGCAGAGCTAGGGAAACTGCCAGCGAGTGAGCGAAACTCCACTTGGAGGGGTACTCTTACTGGTATGAAGTTAATGGCATTACTGGGCAATAGACATTCAGGTTTGACTTTTAATACAATGCCCAGAATCATTTGCATTTTCTACTTATTACTCTATGGTAATCTTAAACCGGATTGTTCATCTCTTGTGGTGTGGCAGAAAGCCTGAATAAACCTTGAGCTTCAGATGTGTGAAGTGTATTCAGTTTTACTACATGTAAGAGGAAATTATTTCATTCCACAAAGCACAACTGTACTGGTTTTCAGATTACTTTTCAGATTTTTGAAACCTTACAATTCTTCAGCCTGCATTTGTGTTGACTTACATGTAAGAGGAAATTATTTTGTTCCACAAAGCACAACTGTACTGGTTTATCATAAATCACATTACTTTTCAGATTTTTGAAATCTTGCAATTCTTCAGCCTGCATTTGTGTTGACCTACTTGAAAAATGTCTTCATACCAAACACATGTAAGGTCAGAAAATATATTTGAAGTTTTTAATTGTTAACAGGGAATAAGTAATTTTTTTTTTTTACCAGTGGCTCTGGAATATGTTCCTGTATATTCCAAAGAGCTTAATAGATGATTGGGTGTATATTTTTATGCCAGTTAGTTGTCTTTCAGTATTTGTATGGCAATGGTAATGCACTACAGTCTGTGTGAGTGCAGGCAGTGGTGTGGCAGTTTGGGGTGCAGTAGTGTTCTGCGTCCAACGCTGCGAGATCCAGCAAGCAGGTGAGGGTCAGTTACAGCTCCCACTTTGGTCTGCTGCACCTGTCTGTGACTGAAACTCCTGTGCTCGACCCCAGCCTTCTCCAGCAGCGGCCTCCTTGGTGCTTGCTCCTGTAGCCCGGCCTACCCGGAGCCTTTCTCCGGCATCTCCTCCTCAGAGGAGGTTGTGCTGAGGCGCTCCCCGTGAAAGGAGCGGGTGCAGGGCTGGGGAAGGGGACAAGTGAGGGGTGCGGGGCTGGGGAAAGGGGCGAGTGAGGTGCAGGGGCCTTGAGAGTGGGAGGAAGGCACAAAGCGTCAGGAATCTGTGATACTTGTTTATGTGCAATAGCACATGAATATACAAAAAGAAAGGATAAACAGTCATATGCCACACAAACAAGTTGCAGAAAAACAGAAGGAGAAAATGTCTGTCCCTTTAGCTAATGTTAACTATTTAATCATACTGGGAACAACCCTCCCCCCGCTATTTATTCCTTTCTGCTCGTTCTAACTCACTTTTTTTACTATAATTGGCAGCCTCTGTAAGTGAGAGCCTGTCTGTGTCACTGTCCTAGCTGTCCTGTGCTGCTCTGCAGGGTGGCAGGATCTCTGCAGGGGGTGACGCGCAGGCAGCTTTACTTGTAGACAGGCTCTTGTTGGGTTGTAATCCTTAATACCATGTAGCAACCAGTCTGTTACTGAGCATGAAACTGTGCAAATGTGTGATTGTCGGAAGGCACAAAGCGTCAGGAATCTGTAATACTTGTTTATGTGCAGTAGCACATGAATATACAAAAAGAAAGGATAAACAGTCATATGCCACACAAACAAGTTGCAGAAAGACAGAAGGAGAAAATGTCTATCCCTTCAGCTAATGTTAACTATTTAATCATAATGGGAACAACCCCCACGCCCCCACCCCCCGCCACTTCTTCCTTTCTGGTCTTTCTAACTCACTTCTTTTACCGTAATTGGCAGCCTCTGTAAGTGAGAACCTGTCTGTGTCACTGTCCTAGCTGTCCTGTGCTGCTCTGCAGGGTGGCAGGATCTCTGCAGGGTGAAGCACAGGCAGCTTTACTTGTAGACAGGCTCTTGTTGGGTTGTAATCATTAATACCATGTAGCAACCAGTCTGTTACTGAGCATGAAACTGTGCAAATGTGTGATTGTCACCAAGGGCTCTTTAGGTTGCTGCTTCTCAGGGCCGAAAAACATCCGTGTAGCTGAAACAAAATGCAAAGTTTTATGGAAGTATCTAGAGAGCGTTGTGAGCTGTCTGTCTGCTGGCATACAAGGAAACTGGATAATGTTCCCTGGCACCTTTGTGTTATTTCTCTGTCTGTAGCGTTGTTCTAGAGCCAAACTTGGGGTGGTTTACCTTTTTATGGCTGATTTGTTTCCATGTTGAACTTTTAATGCTGACTTTAAAGCTCACAGTGTTAGCCTGCATTAATTCTTACACTGGATCAAGTCTGGGTTTCCTGCAAATAATTTTTCCTCTGCTAAACTAGTTTGTACCAAAATACAGAAATGCTTGAATCGGTTGGAAATATTTTGAAGCCTTGTATAGGACTCACAAAACTGCCCATCTGCTGATGAAATTTAAAGTTTACTGCTGCTTTTCTCTCGCTGTTACCATGAGTGACATGTGACATTTGTGGCTGTAGTAGATGAGGAGCAGTCTACTCGCAATAGATAGTTATCTGTTTAAAACAGGAAGGTTTGGATTTAGCAATTGGTCAGCAACCGGCTGGCCAACTGTCCAGCTTTATTATATATAGGGAAATAAAACCCGTGTGTTGTTATGAAGATGCTGTTTGTTGGATCCGTCTGGGACTTATTTAGCAAGTAAGAATGTTAATTTAGTGTATACTAGCTAAGATAACTAGTCTGGGGGGTCAAGGTACTGACTTCAGAGGCATTTCTGAACAAAGATGTTGCAGTTGGTGGGTGGATGGCACTGCTCTCAGCTGTTGCTTGAGCTTGCATAAATAGTATCATCTCCACTTTAATCTTTCGGGTGTTCAGAGGTAGTGTGCATATTTCTGCTTAACCCCTGGACACTTGCTGGCATGCCTGACCCTTGAGCAATTCCTGTCCCCCTCTGCAGCCCTGGCACCTTGGCTCCAAACAGTCTAGAAGCAAAGCCAGTAATTTTGAAGTTTTGTGTTAAGAACATGGCATTTAACAAAAAGTGTTTTCATTTTCTTGGTGTGTCATTTCTACTGTGCTTGCTACAGCGGTGCGTTGAACACTCCTGCAGTACCCTTCGCTTCCCTGCTGTACAACATTGACTTTCCTTTGTGCGGAGTGGTCAGTTAAAATGTCCAAAGTGGTGGTAATGGTTAGTGGATTTTGATATGAGGAGGAAAAAAAAAAAAAAGCTTTGTTATTTCAAAAAACAAAAGCAACAAATGGCTGGTGCAGTGTGTTTTGTAGAGGCAGGCTGGCTCTGAAGTTGTGTTTTAGGGTAACTGTTTGAGTTACCTCACCTTGCATTTCTAGGATGAGAATGATACTTAAAACATCAATTTTGGGGGATCTATTTCTCTAAAATGACCTTTGCTCATCCATCTGATATTGCTTCTGGGACATGGTTCTGAAAGAGCTTTAAGGGGTCTTTGGAGGCTCTGTGCATTGGAAGGAGGTCTCCTTCAGCATTCGAGCTCCTTATTTCCCTCTCTTTTGAGGGAGAATGAGAGGGGCAGGTAGGTGGTGAGTAGCACTGCTGGTTGTGAACAGCTTTTACACTTCATGGTATAAATTTAATTACTATGAAATGCCAACACAGTAAGTGTAGCAAATGCAAAGAGGAAAACAGACTCCAGAGAGACTGATGGAAACAAGAGGGAACTGCATCTTCCTTGGGAGTGACACCTGAAAGGCCCTTGCAGGGGGAGAGGAAACACCAGCAAGGCTGGCAAAGGGATTGCAGTAAGTTGGTTTCCACATTGCAGGCTCTACAGGTGCTAGTTTCTTATAACACTCAAATTCTTTAAATCCTGTGATCAGGCCTAGAGCCTGGGTAATTTCAAAGATAGTTCACCCAAGGGTCTATACCCTGGAAAATTGGAGCTTTTCTAGTTTCTGTTAGAATATCAATGAAGTAATAGTCATAGAAACATATTAATAATATAATTTAAGGACAAGTATGTGGTATTACGTTTTCGGACATCTTTTAGTTGTTATTTCCCCCCCCTTTTTTTTTTATAGCAAACTTTGGCCTGTTCCATTTTAACGGCACTGTTGAGTGAGTTCTCGAGTTCAAGTAAAACCAGCAACATTGGACTAAGCATGGAGTTCCATGGTAACTGTAAACGTATATTTCAGGTAAACTCCTTATGTATCAGTGTGTGCTTTATGTATTTCTCAAATACTAAGAAACAGTACTGTCTTGTACCAGGTGCATTAAGCTAACAGCACTGAGTAGAGTAAACACATACTATGCGTATACTTATGCTATGCATACTATGCTATGCAACAGATATTGACGGTTTTAGAAAAATGGATAATGTATTTTTAATAATTGTATCAAAAAGGTGCAATCCCTTTTGCCTTTTTATAAATGTAGAGCTGTAGATCTATGCACAGTCGGACTCTTTAAGTCCTTGGCTACCAATCGCAAACAAAACGAATACTCTGTGGAACAATGATAGTCTTAAATATAGATTTGGTTTAATGCCAAGGAGAGCTATGTATTTAAAAATATTATTGCAGATGGTGTAGTCTGGTTGTCTCAAATGTATTGTTTGGCCAGGCAGAAATGTTTTTGTGAAGGCATTGCTTTAAGCTCTGACTTTTGTGGAACAACTTAGCAATTTTTTTTCATGCCAAAGACCACCCCATTTCCCTAGCACTTGTTAAAAAAATATCCTGTGAGCAGTTTCCTTTTTCAATGATTAATACATAAATATATATAATATATACATATATTTTTTTCTTACGTTTAAAAAGCATTACGTTAGCTGTGACAAATGAGTTGAGGATCTGACTGTTGACTTTGGGTTTTTTATTATTATTATTTTAATGAAAATAGGGTGAAAATGGATTTTTTTTTAAACCATCACTTTCATTACTAAGGGTGTGTATTAATGCATTGTGTTCGTCCTGGCTGCAGGAGGACGATCTGCGGCAGATCTTCATGCTCACGGTAGAGGTACTTCAGGAATTCAGCAGACGTGAGAACCTCAACGCTCAGATGTCTTCGGTGTTTCAGCGTTATCTTGCACTAGCCAATCAGGTCTTAAGCTGGAACTTCCTTCCTCCAAATTATATCCTTTGAGTGTCAGGCCCTCTATTTCACTTGACTTTTGGCATTTTTACCTCATAAGTAGAGTGTTTGTGAGGAGAGAAAAGTATAAATTCTGTAAGCCTTATATTTAATCCTTGGTTTATATTTTCTTTCATTAGTACCCTTGGACACCCCTGACTTGCTTAGATGCTTATGTGTTCAAGTTGCTATTGTCTTTCATTAAAATTTTCAAGTATTTTATTTAAAAGGCAGTATCAGCTCAACTAGTTAGAAGCTGATGGTGCATTTGACATATATCTGGTTAGTGCATGGGGAGGAGGAATGTAAAATACTGCTTTAGTGCTGAACCAAGATGTGGGTAGATGTAAAGTATTGCATGTGTTTCTGGAGTTCTATGCAAGGTCTGATCTGTCATGCTTTCCTCCTTGAAGAAGAGTAGGGTTCAGGTGAAAGCCCCTCACAAAGCAATGTTTGTGCTTGACTCTCTTCCCCTTAAGCACAGATGATCCTGTACTAGAACATATGCTAGGTAATAGGTTCTCTTTGAGATGAAGAAAATAAGCTAAAATAAGAAATGGCATCCCTCTCCCCTGCTTCTTTCTTTCTTTTGCCAACATGCAGTTGCCACTGCTTCTGTTTTCTCATCTTGATGTCTGCTGATTATGAATGTCCAAGGAAATGTGGAGGTGGCATACAGAGAAGGAAACAGGGGCATATGGTGAAATATCAGAAAGAAGATAATCTTGGGGAGGGAGAGATGAAAAAAGATAACCCAAATGTTCAGCCCAATAAAAAGACTAGAGGAAAATTTTCTACCCTACATTTTTAAGTTGGCTTACAAATGTGTTTTTTTTAAAACCTTTTCAATAACATGGTATTAAATTATGCCTACTGCAGAAATCTTGCTGTTGCCTCCAAATGTGTTGTGAAGGATTTGATAATATATGTGATCATTAGAAGGCATTATCTGCGTCTCCATCATCTTTGTCTCCATTGATTCCGTAGGAGACAGCAAAAGTGAAAATTCTTTGCTTGAAACTGGTTATTCCTTCCCTCACATCTGTAAAACAGAGCTCCAGTTACGTTGCCTCTATAGAAGGTGCCTTGAGGTAAAAGTAAACATCCCACTCCTATTAATCACTGAAGTGATTTGGCAGGGTCCAGGGAAGAATTTGGTCCATGTGATTACAAGCCTGAGGCTGGAGTCACATCATTGCATCTTATAAAGGCTTCCAAAAGATGTGCAAACACCTTTTAGAAAAGAATCTTCTGTCCACTTTGTAGCACCTTTTTTCTCCTACTGTTTGGCATTATGTTTTGCTGTAAGAACTGCAGCACCAGTTTAGGCCTCCCACTTCTATCTAACAAACTGTTTTTGCTGTAGTTGGATCAACTTTAACACCAGTGCAGTGTGGATCTCAGCTGACTAAAATTCAGTAATGCTGAAGTGATATCAACATGTTGATGGTATTGTGACATAAATCCCTCTTCCCTAAAAAGACAGGTTTAAAAAGTCACTGTGGACTGTAGGCTCTTGAACATTAGCATCTAACTTGGCTGCAGTTTCTAAAAAAGCAGCACATGTAGCAACTTAAAAATTGTGGTTCAGTTGGTGTCCTCTTTCCAACTTTGACAGAATATTCACCAAAGCAATGGGTGCACATTTGATACCTAAGGCATTGATTAAAAAATCATCCATTTTTACCCACATCTATCCAATAATCATTCACAGATACATATTTTTTTTTCTTTTAGCTGATAATTTTTTTCTGTTTGTATAGTATCATTCTTAGTATTCTCTGCAAAATAGCAATAACCTGAGTCCTGGCATGTAATCTTCAGCAAGATTCTCTTATCTCTCTCAAAAAAAATAGCATAAATGTCCATTAGCTAGATCTTCAATGAGTATCTTCAAGGGATATATAGTATCTCTTGAAGTATAATTTAAAGCACTGAGTTAAGAAAATTATGTCAAAACATATCACTCCTAAGCAGCTCTTGCGCTGTTGTAGGATGGCTTAGTATTTTTTGCATTGCTCAAAGCAGTCTTGGACAATGCTGCCACCTATTATTGCAGAAGAGTTGTATTATATCTGTGCTGTCTGTTGCTGGAAAGAAGAGCTGGTGGGAGAGATACATTCTGGAATAGCCACCTCATTGGGACAGTGAAAGAAGAGAGCCTGGGATCCGCCTGCTTAAAGATTTTCAGTAATTCTGAAGAGCTTGCAGTGCCTGCAGTGGTAGGGGTGGCGCATGGTGATCTGGGAGGTCTCATTCCAGTTACGTGCAGTTTCTTCCATCGCGTTTGCTAAAGCACATTGTTATTTTTATCTGCTACCTCTAGGCATTAGTTGACCTGGTGTTTGTGGATGCTTCAGAGGTTTTTGGCAGTACTGTTGGAAATGACAATAACATTGAATTCCTATTTTGCACTAGGAGCGTGTGGCAGTCGGCTGTGGCATGTTGGCTTCAGTGGGGTTTCTTTTTTCAGTGCTGTTACGTCATTGTTTAGTACTGTTCACTTGGGTGGAACCAGTTCCATTGCATCTTCTGTTTTTAAATAAATATTTATTTATTTAAACAAGAGTAAGGAAATGCAGGTGGTCAGTGCTAAGGTGTACAGCCCTCTCCTTTATAAGTGTGCCTTCAAGAATCCTACTTGTAGTGTGTTATAAGTGCAAGGTCTTCAGTTGAGGAGCACAATGTTCCTGGACTCTAATGCACCTTGACATGGACTTGTAATCTTGGAATCAGGTTGTAATTATAATTTATGTCCTATTACCTCTGGAGATGTTTTCAAGACCTCCTTGAGTTTGGGATTTGTCTGTTCTTGACAGCCACATTTTTATGTACTCTGAATGCGTATCCAGCAATGCCAAACTTCTTAAACAGAGTGTAAGATTGTGTGCTGATGTCTTCCATCCACAAAAAGAGGTTCATCATCTGTTGATCTACCACAGAACCAGTCATTCCTTATTTGATTCCTTAAGGAACAGATTTTTACAGCTTTCTGTAAACAGCACTAGTGCTTCATGAATAAAGAACAACTCGAGTTTTAGTTTTTTTGGATTTGATGCCTCTAGTTGTCTAGAGAAAGCTGGCAAGTTATTAAGTTAATGCAGAACAGGCTTGGATTTAAAATACACGCCTCATAAACCTAACATGATGCATCCTGCCCATGCACATAGTTGCTCTTCCATTGCAATTGCTGTATCAACTGGCTAAGCTTTTGTCTCATCTAAAGCTTTTTCATCTGCATGTTCCTCAGCCACGTCTCTAAAGGACCAGACTTTTCATATCTCTGTTGTGGAACTGCCTTTTATACGCAGGCCGGGATGGGAGACCTTTCTGGGGGATGCTGTGAGCCGTAGAGCTCGGCAGACTCTCGAGATTGGAACTCGATCCAGTCGAGTTCCAACAGATTGGCAGCATCTGTTGCACATAATGGACATGCATGTAAAAACACACAGACTGTTCTAGAAACCTCGAGATTTGTTTTGAGGAATGATTCAAGTTGGCATCGCTGCTGAAAAAGCATCCTGTCCCAGCACCTCCTGTGAGCTGTGACACAGGGAACTGCCTGAAAGTGTTTTTAGGAGGATGAGGCTGCTGGTTTGGTTCACTGAATGCTCACGTGGATGCTTCAGCCTGTGCTGAGGAGCAGCGGACAGGTTTCCATCAGCAGAAGGGCTGTCTCCTCTAGATCTTACCTTCATTAGTAGCCAGGAGATATTAGGAGTTTACAACAGCAGTTTATCTGTAGTCCAAAAGATAAAGCAATGAGATGCTACCCTGGCTATTTTTCTGGCATGTATAGAAAATTTTAGTGAAACTAAGAGCTGTGTGCAAGGAAGTACAAAAGAGGTGGCTCCATTTTTACTCTCATCAGTCTTAGCACTCTTAAGGGGAAAAGTTGCCCAATTTTGAAATCCAAGCTGTTCTGAAACTTTCTGAATAGTAGTACGAGTTTTCTTAACAATCGTTTTGGATGATGTTTTAAGACAAAGCTGAGCAAAAGAGAAAAGGGCAGATCAACAGACTCCCTGCATAAATTCTGCAAGTTGCTCTGAGACTCATTCCATGTGCCTGGCTGACTAGCAATCCAGGGGAGATCTTAAATACAAATCCCTGTGTTAGCATTGTACCGCTGGATGGCACATTTCCAGACCACTACCTGTTTAATTCAGCTTTTTATTTGTAAAATACAGGTCTAAGATGCAAAGCTTTCCAGAAAGATTCAAAACAGCAAAAGTAAAGTGATCAACATAACTTTGTAAACAAAGGCACTCCAGGAGTTTTTCCCTTTCTGAGTTGTTCTTCTGTCCTATGGACAAACTTGTCCAACAAACATGTAGAACTTCAAATATATGTTTTGATTCCCATTTTTAAAGAAATCACTCTTATTTCTATGATTCTTGAAACAACCTATTTTTGAGCTAGTAGCTGCATACATAAATTGAAGCTAAAATAAATTAAAATCTGTTTTAAAGAGTACGGTCTTGTCCTCTTCCTCTTTGGGCATGAACCAGTGAACATATGGGGCTTACCATATATGGAGGCATTTAGTTGTATTCCTATATTTTTCAGAAGAGCTTGATAGATTTTGATGAATAATCTTTTATTTAAAACAGTTATTTTTTAGTCTTAGTAGTCTTACTACTGGGTAAAATATTGTCATGCTTCGGGTAAGTGTTTCTTAACTTTGGTTTCTTTGTCATCTACAGTTAGCTGTAATGAGAATTACTGATTTTTCAATAGCATTAGTCAATATTGTAAACTTCTGTATTTATTATCAGAAAAGCTTTACTCTTGCTTTTCATTTGAAAAGTTACTGAGGTGTCATAATAGACAGATTTATGCTTACCATAAATCTGTGCTACAGTTTGAGTGCTTAGGGCTAGCACTGGTATTGGGCTAGTTCTGTCCTTGCTCTGTAGCGTTGAGCTGATCAATTAAATTTTGATGATGAAGGCACCATTTGCTTTGGGTAGCTGCAGAAGTCCCTGTGCTGGTTAATTTAGTGCCATTTTTTTTCTAGTTTGGCACAAGTGACTGTTATCAGTAGGGCTGAACCCCACCAAATTAGGATATTTCACACCAACAGACCTCTTGAAATCCGACTTACACTGGTGTTTGCCTGCTGCTGGTTGGTGATGGAAGATGGCTGCAATACCCCCACTGTGGGTGCAGGCATAATTTGTGGAGTTTAAGTGAACCAATATTTTTACCTACAAATCTACTATTGTGAGATGTGTCATCAGCCCGTTAGCGTGAGGTTCAGTCCTAAAAATAACAGGATAGGACTGCTAAATACTGAGGCTTGTTAAAATAGTGACAGCAAATTGGCCCTTCGTTCATTCCATGTGAAGTGTGTTATGTAACTTGTCCCCTCTGTAAACTAAACCAAGTGAAGAGCAAAGTGGTTTGCAGAGGCTGATAATGTATCTTTCCTTGTCTTCTGGTATTGATGTATTTCCTAGCAAATTCTTTCTTGGAGAATTACAAGAAAATATACTTTTCTAAATAAACAATTTACAAGTACTCCTTTTTTTCTAAAAACATTCCAAAACAAGAGGAAAATATGTAGCTTATTGTGCCAGATCCAATAGCATTAGTCTTAATTTGTAATATTGCCCCGATAAGGGATGCTTGCATGTGATAATTTCATGCCCATATTTTATTTTATTCTGGAAGAACTAAGGCATTTTTGATCACTAAAATGATACCTGTACCTAATATGGAAATAAAGTAGGCAATTCTCTAATTTGTTTTCTGTCTAAAATAATGTAGATTAGTTGTGGTCTTGTACAGAAACTCACTGATAATTTTAAAAATGATGAAACTACTTTTATAGTAATATGAACATTCTTAATTATTCTTATGCATTCTATATATGTACATATATTCAAGCTAAAGTTGTGCATCCTGCCTTGAGCCACAGCACTTCATATTAAGTTAAATCTTAGTTTTGTATATCCTTCTCTTAAGCAAAACCTGCCAAAACTTAGGGGATCTGCTTTACCAAATGAAATCGTCACAGAACTTTCTTTGTTGCAGGGAGATAAATTCTTTTTTTGTGTGTGTGTGTGAACATATTTTTTCTAGTACCTGGTGAGGAGCAGTACTCAAATTAATACGGTTTATCCCCAGTAGGCACATTGCATGCAGTTGAGCTTATGGTTTATCATTCTGACCGTAGATTTAGAGAGGGATCAGGGAGGGTAGAGAGGATATTTTTTGTTTTCCTTAAATGAAAACTTGAGCTGCTGGTTTGTGCAGTTCACGCAGTTTTACAATTTACGAATGTGACTGGGAGTGTCACAGAAGGAAGCGCTTCCAGAAATCTTTGAACACTACTCTAGATGGCGACTGACAAAGAATGTGACATACATTTGGGTTTGCCCGTGGTTTTTTTTCTGTATTGGAGCACCTGGAGAATTTTTAAAAATTTAAATTATACCAAAATGCATAGCAAGAACTCATGCAGTAGCGACAAAGTCCTGCTTTCAGTGTGCGTGCGCTCTTTATGCCTGTCCCTTATAAATGCATGTTTAATATGCCAGTGCCCCGTGATGCCGTATGCTTTTGTTCTTCACAGCATAATAAAAATGTAGATTCATGCAGGGCTAACATATCTGCATTCTGTGAAGCCTCTTTGGCTATTCAGAAAAATAGGCTATGGATTTCAGCGGGCTATCTTTAGCTATCATAAGGCCTTTATAAAAGCTGCCAGGAAAAATTTTTAGAAAATGATTTCCCATTTTGCATAAATTTTAACACCTGTTGAATCGCGGTTGCTTTTTTCCCTTCTTGCCGTGTCACATTAGACACCCTGGTTATCAAAGTGATCGTATCACTATGGTATGTCTCATAATTATGATCAAACTGTTATCTAACATTCCTGGAGCATTCTTTTTTTCAATACTTAATACCTTTTATTCCTTGGCCTCATGCATGAATTATGCTGTGTATGTGAAGAGGCTTAAAGTTTGTTTCCATTACATTCTTTCTGAATGGATCCTGTTGTATCTAGGATTTTTTTAAAGCCAAGTAGGAATGTTATTGTTGACCTTGACACCAGATAACTGGGCAGACATTATATAGCTATGTTTGAATCCTCACAAAATGTGATGCTAAAGCCAACAGAATCCTGGCGCGAGACCCTCCTGGACAGCAGAGTTATGGAGCTTTTCTTTACAGTAAGTTTCATTCTTCAACTTTCATAGTACAGATCCACAGGGAAAGCAGCTCCTTCCTGTTTTAAACCCTTGCTGTGGGAGTCTTCCTTTTGCATCAGGTAGGACTGATTCTGTTAACTTCAGTTGGTTTATCAAAGCAAGCAGACGTAATGTGTTGCTAACAGAATATGCATTTTGTCTATGTATTGCCTTAAATTGAGAACCATTAACTAAAGAAAAAAAATATGGTTATCTCAGCATTTAATGCTTTTGGACCTGTGTTCATCAAATGAAACAAAGCATGAGGAACTGTAATAGCTATGTATGTTTTTTTAGCTAAGGTGTAGCATCTCTGAAAAAGATCCAAATAACTGTGTTTTTACTGTTTTTTTTTTTGCTAGCAGTTGCTCAGCAGAACAGCTGAAAATAAGTCATTTGCAATTGCAGTTTTCTAGACGGTTGCAGTATTCAAAATTGTACACCTTTTTTTCCCCAGCACAAAGCATATTCAAACAAATCAAGATAGATTAATATAAGACTGATAGGGCTCTCCCCACACAGAGTGGGGAGAGGGAATGTAATGCTGCATTGCTTTCATTTTGAAAAATCTGATGTGAAAACTGGATACAATTATTACTTTATTATTTTTACTTACCAGTGTTGGGGGAGAAGCTGATGGTCTTTGTTCAAGTAGAAGTTACTGCAACACCAAAATTTAATGGTTTATAAATTACTATAATCTGGTAACTTCACTTTGTGTTGCATCTGGTGAGATCTGCGTTCAGCATTCTTCAGGCTGCGTTCGTTTTTGCAAAGCAGAGAAAAAACATGTTCAAACAGACCTGGTCAAAGTGATTATTAGACAAAGTGGATGTAAATCTTCAGTACGGCTTGAAGCTGTTTGATATATGTTGCATGCCATGTTCTTACTTTGTATTTTTTTGGTTTGTCTTTAATAAATGATAAATGATTTTTTAATTTTTTTTTCTTTTTTTTTTTTCTTTTAACCGAAAGTTCATCTGATCCAGGAGTTGTGAAAAGGTGAAAAAATTGCTGGCAGATCTCTTAGCAGCTACACACAATCTGAACAGCTGTCTAGACTATCCAGACAGTTGCTACTGTCAGCTGTGAATCTCCACATGCAAATAACTTTCTGACTTCCACATTAACCCGTTCTTGTTTAATAGTAGAAGGTGTCCAAGTTAAATATCTGTTGCTTTAGCTGTTTATAAGTCAGTTAACTATTCATGATAAAAATAGAGGTTTAAATAACCTGCAGAATTGCTTTTATGCATTTAAGTTTTCTTTATTAGTAATCGGAAAGTGCCAGCATTTGATTGTTTTTGAGTGAATGCCAGCCAGAACAGACTGCTGTCAGTTTTTGTTTTAAATTCCTAATTTGCAATGGTTGAGGCTCATAGTATTAGTTTCCCACTTGAGGTAGTACAAGTGGATTGTGATAGTTTGTATTCATTTACTTCTAAGAGACTTTAATAACCTTAAAAAAATGGTTAAAAAGGCAACCATGTTAAAGATGAAACCTTCAGGCCTAATCTCTTCCTAGGGTGGGACTTGCATTAAAACTGCGTTTTGGTTTCAGGGTTTGTTTTCCCTGGTAGTTTGACCTTTCAGAAGTTAGCCGTGCAGCTAATCCATCCAGTTACCACCTGGATGCAACCGGAACTCTAAAGCATAGAGAAATGGGTAGCGTGTTTTAATTGCACTCTTAGTAACACCATTGAAATGTTTTTAACTAAATTTGTTTTGGAGGGAGAAAAAACTACCCTGCATTTATTTTTCAGTCAATTTTATGTGGAAAAAGTAGAAGGCATGGTTCCTTTGGGGATAGTCTTGCACATCCATGCCTGAAGATTGCAGCAGGTATCTGTGCTCACCCGGCTCGTAGGAGCTTCGCGTCGCGCCCCCTTTGCCAGCAGCAGCGGTGACGTAGCAGGTCGCCCAAGGAGCCAAGATCACTGCTGGCCCTGTACAATGTCAGCGTGTTGCCAAGGAAGTGATGCCTTCGTTTTTGTGCACGTCTTCAGTGTTTACCTCTGCTGAAGGAGCATCTGTAGGATCTTGACTGCGCTTGTTGACTAACTTTAGCACGACGCTGTAGCCTAGGCATAGTTAGCATAATAGGGATGACTGTCATTATTGCTGTTTTTAGAAGGAGCAGTATGTCTGCCTGGCTGGCATCTGTTTCTCTCCTTAAGACACAACATTCAGTAGACAGTTCAATTTTCAAAATGTAGGTAAGACCTAGCTAAGCATTAGCTTCAGAGGATTAATTCATGGCTTGTGACATTTGTGAACTACGATGCAATCTTAACATTTACTGTGATTTTTAGAGTTGTAGAAACCTTTCCGCTTCAGACTTGAATAGGAGTTAGAGTAAGCTTTTTTTGGTGTGTGCTCTTTTGGATCGAGAGCCATGTGACTGTTGCAAGAACATTCTCTTTTCCATGTATTATTAACTATCTCGCTTCCTGAAAGGTACATCGGAAAATCAGAGAGGATACAGATATGGCCCAAGACTCGTTGCAGTGCCTCGCCCAGCTGGCCTCTTTGCATGGGCCGGTCTTTCCCGATGAAGGTTCCCAAGTCGATTACCTGGCACACTTCATTGAGGGATTACTGAATACTATCAATGGGTATGTATGCCTGCTCTCTAAATTTAGATGGCATCTTGTAATCCTTAGTTTGGAGCATGCTGTATGCATGTTGAGAAGGGGTAGGAGTTGCCTAGTTCTGGTGAAATTTGTGTTCACTTTGGATTATTGAAACTTTTTTTTTTAAATGCAGTTTAAAGTAGGTGGTCCTTAAATAACAAGAAACAGACTAACTGGCTGAAAATGTATCAACAAAATCAATTAGCTTTTAGCATTTTCCTAAGTGACAGAATACTAACTGCCATTTCTATGTATAGAATTGAAATAGAAGACTCTGAAGCAGTGGGAATTTCCAGTATTATCAGCAACCTGATAACCGTATTTCCTCGCAATATTTTAACTGCCATTCCAAATGAACTTTTCTCTTCATTTGTTAACTGCCTCGCACACCTCACTTGTTCTTTTGGGAGAAGTGCTGCCTTGGAAGAAGTGGTGAGTATCTGTTCTCAAATAGTAAGTGTTCTCTTTTTTTCCCGTTTTATTTGTCTAAGTGATATGAGACTTTGGCTTTTTTTTTTTGTATTATATTATATATTATACATTTACAACATGTTGTTTTGAAAATCTGTGGTTGTTTATATATTACTGAAATCACAGCTGAGAGGTTTGTGGTTTTGTTTTGAGAAACATAATGAACGATTACAGTCTCTGTGCAAAGCTTTGTTTTGATTTAAGGCACCTACTTTGTATTTTTTCTTCTCTCAAAAGAGTCATTTTATTAAAAAAAAGTAAGACTAAATATTGCTGACTGGGTTGCATAGGACTTCTCTGAGAGCTGCTGTAGGTGATTAATAAGCTGCAGCTCTGAAAGCTTAGCCTGGCTATATGAGCACATACAGACAGGCTGAAACTACTGCTGGCAGGGCTTACGAGCCAGGGACTCCGCTTTTAAGTGGATGTAGCTGTTAAGATCTTTTGTTGTTAACCCTACACTACTAAGCTGTTTAAATTGCCACTGTTACTGACATGGGTCAGAAGATAATTCTATGTATTTATCTGGCACAGGAATTCACAGGACTTTTGTTTACTTTGAAACTTCAGTTATAACATTCAGTAGTACTTCTCTATCTTCTGTCTACACAATAACATTAAAAACAAAAACTCTTGAGGATACCTAACTTAAAAAAACAACAGCAACAACAAACTTTATTAAGGTAAATAATCCAGCATCAGGACTATTTGTGCGTGGTAGTTATTGATTAAAATATTTTTACTAAGGCTAAAAAAAAAGTTAGCCAATTTACCATGATTATCATTGCAGTAGAATATGGCTGTCTGTTTTGATACTCAAATTTTAAAGTGTTTATAGAAGTACTTAGTTATAAAGTTGACAGGCAAGTATTTTTACCAGTGAGGAGAACACAAGTGTGTTAAGCTTCATTGCAGAATGTTGGAACTGATGTATTTGCTGCAATATTCATATGTATTTCATTTGGCTCAGTGTTCACACAACGTTGCAGTGTTCCTGTTTCAGCCAAGAAACTGGTGGTTACAGTTAGAATCTTAAAGATTCTTAAAAAATCTTTAAAAAATCTTGCCAGCAAATTTATGCGTGTTCACGAAGCCTTTATATAAATACTCAGAAGAATCATGGATACCAATTATTTCAATTAAGGGAATCAGAGAACATATATTCATTCCTCTGTTAGCCTCTTGCTACATGAGAGCTGGAATATGCAGCCACATTGGACTTCAGGAGTACACAGTATATCCCAACTGGAACAGTTCATCTCTCAGCAGAAGCTTCCTCAAACAGTTTGGGTTTTGGGAATGGCTGCCTGGTTGCATCTAATGAGCTAGGGCTGCCTAATTTCTTCAGCAGAAAACTATGGGATTATAGAAAGTCTTTACAGTATTAGACTTAAATGTTCACAGATTCAGCAACATCAGAAAAATAAAATGCGTGACTCTTCTTTTTTGAGGGAGTTTGTACACTTCCCTTGAATCCTTAAATCATTCTGTAGTAAAAGAAATACTATACTTTTACCTGTTCGCTTGTGTCCTAGGTCTTGACGATATATAGGGTGCACTGCAACTTCATGCTGTTTCTCTGATTTTCAGGATCTTTCAGAATTCTTTGCTTGTGGACTTTCAAGAAAACTTCTCATAACAGTTTATCAGCAGTAAGACCTGCTACACAGCCTACTGAGCTATTGCTTGGTGCCTGTGGCCCACATGATATGGTCATCTTAAATACAACTAGGAGACCCTGAAGGCCCTCTGTGGCCTGGGGAAGTCCCGGCCATGGTTCATGTCTTCGTTCAAGTCTAGATTGGGTTGCCTGCAGTGACATTGAGCTCACGTCATTTTTATAGCTAAGAGCTTCTGATGAAAGAGGAGCCACCCTGTGTGCTGGGCTCCGTGGAGCACCGAGATAAAGTCGTGGAGCTTTTCACGACGCCGGCCCGCGGCTGAACGCAGGCAGACGTACTTGGTAAGCTCTGCTGGTGCCAAAAGCTCTTTCCCAATGTTTTTGTCACCACACATGCCAGCCAAGCAGCTCATGTGAACATTGCAGAAATCCCACCAAGCACCAGGAATCCGTGTAGCCAAAGGCCACCTATTGAGACTGTCAAAATGAGAAGATCCCAGCCCGTAATGCCCAGTCCGCTTCGCTTGCTGGTGGCACTTGCTGCTAATAGTGACCTTTGCTGAGAAAAAAAAGAGAGAGAGATGGACCCAAACCAGAAGAGCTCAGGAGGAGGTGCTTGTTTCACACAGAGCTGCCTGTTGGGGTTGACTGAGGGAAGGTTGAGCGTTTGCCTGAGCAGCCCCCGTGGCTGGCCACGGGGTCGGTGTCGGCAGCGCTGGGGACAGGCGCCTCTTCCCTTGGTGACACTGCCTCTGGGAGAAGGCGCCTGCAATATTTTATTCAAATGGTGGATAGACTATGAAGGAAGAAGTACTAGTTTTCCTTTCCTGTGTTGGAGGAATTAGGCCTCTGCTCACTGGTTGTATCTTGCCCCTGCTGAAGGTGTGAACTGGGAAGTGCTGCAGTTTCTGCTGGGTTCATCAAAACATTTTGGCAGCCCACACTGCAGCAGGTCATTTATAATTTGTCTGCCATGAAACAGTTTGGTGGCCCAGCTGGATCCTGTCATTTGAATCACTCATCTGAAACAAGGACTGGGACTTTTTACTAAGATTTCTTTGTGACCCAGTTTGTTTGATACGGACAAAGCATTTCTGCTAGTTGTGCATGTACTTTATGGAGGCACTTTCTAATCTTACTTCCCCATTTCCTTATGAGAATGCCATAATGTGCCAAAATCTTTATTCATGGCAGTATCTATTGCATTAGCTTCTCAAGGAAGGAAGAGATGGATTTGACTTGGGTTGTGCTTCACAAAAGGGCATATCTGCTTCTTGGTTTGTGCTCTGAATGCTTTTTGAATTACATACAACTTGGATTACATACATGACTAAATATTTCAAGATTGAATGGCCATGAATATTTATGTCCTTTAGTGGAATTTTAAAAAGATAATGACATCTCTCCTGAATAGTTATTCTGTGAATGTTGAATAAAACTTTGCCTCTTTTCTCATCATCTTCAGCTTTTCTTTTTACAGAGTACCATGAGTGTCCCATATTGTAACTTCTGTAAATCATGACCACTTCGCAGTTGGAGAATGATGCTGTAGAAATATTTTTAAATGTTTCCAAAATGATGCCAGTTATGCCATCCAGCCAGATTTCTTTTCTTTGCCTGTTCATCCAGGCATGTTTATAACTTTGCTGGAAGTCGGGAACTGGAAGTCTTCCGCCCAGGGCATAATTAAGACCTTAATAGTTCCTTATTTGATCAAGTTAAGCTATGCTATGTTTAAGTAACTTGTGTGAGTGATCTGATTGATTAAAAGCTGAGAAACCTGTTAGAGGAAAGGGGAGTCCTGCCATACATAGCAGAAAATCTCCAGTGTGCATGCAGTCGTAATTAAGTTGATGTGAATCATTTGGTTACGAAGTGAAGTTCAATTTTTGCCTTATTTCAGGAAGTGTCAATACCTTCACTTAAAACCCTTTTCAGAAGACAGGGCTGCTTTGCTTTCCTGTAACCCAGGCAGGTATAAACATATGTTACTTCCCTTTGCAACTTACGTAGCACACGTTTGTAGAAAGACATGAATAATGAAAAGATGGTGTTTTAGTTAAAATCCATCAAGCAATTGGAAGTGCTGGCTTGTTCTCTGGAATTGCACCCATGTATTCTGTCCATGGGATTGAGTTGCTTCTCATCATCAGAACTGACTACCTGTAGCAGGGTTTCTTGAGCACACAGTCTTACAGTGCTTCCCTCAAGCAGACTTAGCATCTCTTCTGTCTCTGAATGTTAAAAATAGCAGAATATGTATAAATATCTATGCACATGGTTTTGCCTAATTAAATAGAAACATCTCAGTTCTTTACATACATACATATATATATATATGTATGTATGTATATGTATTTACTAGTGTTGCTTTGGCATTCTTCATGTGTAGGTAATTGGGGGTGCTATTGCCTGTATCAGGTATCTTCCAGGTTTAATTTGAGACTGTTTTGATTTTTGAGCATTAGGGGAAGAGATGGAGCTAAACACTTTGATAATTACTAAAAACGTAGCAAACAAGCCTGAAAATGACATTAACCTTTTCATTTATTGTTTCCATTCATCTGTGTTTTTCCTGGCTATCCTTCCACAGTTTAGTGACTTTTTAAACATTGCTTCAGTATTAAGAAGAATATCTGTTTCTTTCATGTCTTGCAGCTTGACAAAGATGATATGGTGTATATGGAAGCGTATGATAAGTTGCTGGAGTCTTGGCTGACTTTGGTACAAGATGACAAACATTTCCATAAAGGCTTCTTTACCCGACATGCCATTCAGGTCTTTAATTCTTATATTCAGTGCCATCTAGCTGCTCCTGATGGTACAAGGAATTTGGTAAGCCCTCACTCTAGTGGTTCTTAATTATATATAGTAGCTGAGACATTTCTTTTGATGTGTGGTACTTTGTTACCTCAAGGGAGCTAATATAGAATCATTATTTATGGTTTCAATTAGAAATAAAAAACTTGCTGAATTTCTTACGAAAATGTGATTTGTTTCAGTCCGCTTCTCTTTCGGAAGGAGAAATAAATGCTATACAAAAGTCAAAAATCACTTCCAAAAAAGATATCAATTAAAAACAAAACCCATTATTCTGGAATTGCCATTCGTACTATTGATCCATCCCAGAGGATGGGGTGACTAAACTGGACTAGTATCTTACAGTCTGAAATTGCAAGTCTTTGGGCGCTGCTGCTGCCTCTCTGTACATCATCCTTAAAATATAGTTGAATGGTCTATTTTGAAATAAAATGGACATGTAAAAATGTCTGCGAAAACAATATAGCTATGCACAAAATATGAGGAAAATTTGCAATCCTATGTGGTTCTTCTGAATAGAATAGTATATGAATTCTATATTGAAATTTTGAGGTGACCATTTTGGAGAACACCTAAAATTATTTGACTTGGAGAAGAAGTCTCTTTGTTGGGAGTCTGCATCTGACTGAAACAGATTCTACTATAGAAAGTTGGAGGTAAATTCTAAATGAGTTAATTATTGCCTAGATTTGATTCGGTGACTGTATATATTATTCTCCCTAATTTTGAGGCTGTGCAGAGATCTCCGAGATACCTCCTTCTGAAAAGTTTAATGTAAAACCTAATTCTGATATCTTGATAGGGAGCAGATGGCAATAACAGTGCCAGCACGGAGAGAGGTATTTCGCGAGAGAACTTTGAATTCATGTCCGGCGGGCTTGACATAACTTGTATATACAGGTTAATTCATGTCATTCTGTGAGATAAGTCACTTATCCCGTGGGCAACCTCTTAAAAGCCACAGCTGGCATTTCAGAATGCTCCTTGTTAGATATCAAAGCGGTCGCTGGAACTCGCTGGCCCCGCTCCGCGAGCGGGGACTCGCTCTGCATAAACAGCTGCAGCTTTGAAGTTGCCAAAAGAGAATGATTTGCTGGGTTAGATAAAGGAAAGATGGGCTAAAAGCACTTTGGATGAAGAATTGAGTGTGCATTCAATTTTCCAGAGCTTTTGGAGGAAAAAAATGCAGAGCAATAGCGTTCTCTGTCATGTTTATTTTACTTTGTCAGTTGTGGAAACTATAATCCTTTAATTTTTTTATTATCAATGTTTAAAACATAATTAAGAAAAAAATAATATATGGCTTCTACGTACGTTTCCTTAAGGAAATGAGGTCCAATTTATTGTGTAGCTGTTTGATGATATAGGAAGGACTTAAGCTTTGGAAAAATCAGAGTGAGATTTCAGTAAGAAATAAGTTTTATAAAATGTGATTTTTTTTTTTAATCTGCTTTCAATTTTTCTGAGGTTATAACATAAATCCTACCTCATTTTGTGACTCATGTAAGATCTCAGAGAACTGGGAAAAATACCTTTGTATGACTAAACATAGGCGAGGAAAAAACAAGCAAGTTTCAGGGTTTAAAATGGCTTTTGGCCTGATACATTGGCATTTCAAATCACATATATATTTCAACAATCTTCAGACCAGTGGATTTATGGACCAGCTCTGTGAGCCAGATTCATTCAGAACTTTGTATTTTACCTCCAGCAGTGGATGCTTTTGATGGCCTTGACTTGTACATGCTGTGGAGTGCAAAACCTGTGTGGCTTTTATCCAGCTTGTACTTACCCTCTTATTAACAAGTATCAATTTTTGTAACTATTTTCCGTGACTCTTTACTAACAATGGATCTTTGGATTTGAGAGCACTGTTGGAAACAGTAGCAAATGTACAGTGAACTCAAAATGGCATTTTGCTAATGTAAAATGCTGATTTGGAAATACCATGAGGCAAAGTTTACTGCCCCATTTTACTGTTCTGGCTAACTTAGTTTGATCTGGTTGCCCACCCACGCAAAACAAAAAGAAACATTTGAAAGAAGACAATAAGAAGATGCACAAAAATGTGGTGATGGTATTTGGAAAATGTGACATTAACTGGTCACTTGCAAAACCCCAACAGACGGCCAACGGCGTGGCCTCTCGGGAAGAAGAGGAGATCAGCGAGCTCCAGGAGGACGACAGAGAGCAGTTCTGTGACCAGCTGGCCAGCGTGGGCATGCTGGGCAGGATCGCGGCGGAGCACTGCATTCCTCTGCTCACCAGGTGAGACAGAATGAGAAAAGCCACCAAATGGGGAAAGCCCCTTTGTGCAAAAACCTCTAAGGACTCTGCAAAGTGATTTTACTGCTCTTTGTCTGCAGTTTGTTAGAAGACCGAGTGACAAGGCTCCATGGGCAGCTGCAGAGACATCAACAACAGTTACTCGCCTCACCAGCATCAGGCTCAATGGACAATAAAGTGCTTGATGACCTGTATGAGGATATTCATTGGCTTATTTTAGTCACAGGTTAGTGAACAGCTTTAAGCAGTGCCTATTCTTAATGAAACTGGAACATCTTATGAAAAAAATACTAATTTGCCCACTGCTAGCAAATGACTATCTATTTAATCCTTTATGTTGCTTTCATCTTACATATTCTAGTCGCAAAAAAAAATCATCTTCCTTTCTTCTGCCATAAGTACTATGAGGGTAGTATTTAAGATTAATTAAATTTTTGAATAAGGTATACCTTTTGAAAATGCCTGTGACTTAATTTTACATGTTTTCGAGGTGTGCTGTTGGTCGACTTGAACAGGTAATCAGTCTGTTTTTGAGCTTTCAATTGTACTATCTGGGATCGGGCAACTGTGTCGAGGAATCAGCATGAGATCAGGAGAATGGTTTTACTCAAGGATGGCAACGAATGGAGCAAATTCCACAATCTCTCAGTGCCGCTGATCTGTGTATTGATGTCTGGTTATGTTTCAGGGAACTTGAATATAGAAACTTCTTTCTTTTCTTGTTTTTTTCTTGTTTTTTTTTCTGATTTTTAGCTGGAATGATCTCACATCTGTCTGTAAAGAATAATAGTAACTATAGCAATATCTGTGTTCTGTTAGGAAAAATGTATATTCCATTATGAAACGTTTTGTGAACGTCTGATGTAGTAGTACTTCTCAGAAGTTGACATATATACGCTTACAATATTTTTATATCACTGTGGGATGAAGTTTGTATCTGTAGGTCAGATGGTTATAAGCCAGACATTGAATATTGTGACTGAATCTGGAATGAATGTTAACTGTCTGCCTAACAGCATATTGTACTGTAAAAACTCTTGCTTCACCTCATCTGCGGTTACTACTCCTTTGTTACAGCATGTCTTTTGAGTGTCTGAAACCCTCTAACAGATCTGAAATGTTAGTAGAACAGAAGCCCTGGATAGGGGGAAACTGTATAATTAGGGCACTTCTTATCACATGACCGAAGAAGAAAAAAGGTGGCTATAAAATATTGTATAAAATTATTTTTATCCTATAGAAGAAAAAGCTGTTGAACTTTCACACGAGCACAAAGAGCAAAGCTGCTCTTTGTTTTTAAATTCGTGGCTTATTTTTCAGTCTGTCTTTTTTATCATTTTAGCTTCTCCTCTGCGGAATGGCTTTAAGTATTTGAAGTTAGATATCCTTGTGTAAGCAGTGTTAGTCAGGGTTTCTACAAATGTTTGATTCTAGTGCCATGTCTACAGTTAAATCAATGGATTCTCTAATCAAAGGCCATAAGTTACCGTAGGGTAGAAATTTGTGATCGCTCTTTCTTTTTTAATGTAAGGCTACCTCTTGGCTAATGATACTCAGGGAGAGACTCCGCTAATACCTCCAGAAGTAATGGAATATTCCATTAAGCATTCAACTGAGGTTGACATCAATACAACACTTCAAATTCTGGGATCTCCAGGAGAAAAGGCATCTTCCATCCCAGGTTACAACAGAACAGATTCTGTAATTAGGTAAGAATGCATCGTGCACTGAAGTATGTCAGATATTTTTTCAGAGAAAGTGGGAGTATGTGTGGAATTCTGCAAATTAAAAAAAAA